AAAAGATCGGCTCCACGCTTCATGGAACACCCCCCCCCCCCCCCCCCCCCCCCCCCTACCATCCTCCGCTACCCCAATGCCTCATTGTTGTGGTTGACGCACACACACACCGATTACGGCGGCGATTCGCTCAGGACCACACGGCGTCGGTTTGGATTGCGTTGGCCTTCGCCCTGCAGCTGCTGCTGCTGTTTCTCCCCGCGTCGCTGAAGGAGTGTGCCTTGCTGAGGGGCTTCGTGGTGAGAAAAGAGGGCTCGGGTGGGAGGGGGGAGGACCAGAGATCATCCACCGGGGCGTCTTGCAGAACGCTAGTACTCGTCGTGTACTCGAAAGACGACACACAGCAAGTGTTTGTCTGAAAAGGGAGAGCACCTAGCGCCAGCCCAAGCCCAGCCCTAGCCGTGACCCGACCTTTACGCCCATACCGAGGGACGAAGATGAATCGCGCGGCGACGTCTCACCGCCTAGCCGGGTGTCGTTAGTGAGAGTGTGACTGGCTATTGCTATTGCCGACGAGACTCTTGTCCGACGAGAAGATGGTTGCAAGATGCTCCCTCTTCCCGGAAAGAGGATATGGTAGGACGGAGGGAAGCGAGGGGGAGGGGGGGAAGGGACGGGGGGGGGGATCAGCAGCTACCGTACAGTTGTGCAGCAGCACGTCCTGCTGTAGCAACTCTCATATATTCATCTCACGATTCCTCGGTGCGACAACCCTAGCGGTATTGTTCTCTCGAGCATGCATCAACCACGCGCTCTTGCATAGAGCACTACCGCTTGGTTCTATTTCACTCATCATCGCGGAGCCTCAGCGACACCCCTCCGTGATGGTCTTACCCCTCTTACTGTAGTCCTGCCGGGGCAGTGACTGTCTTTTGTTAGTGCCAGACGCTAGCTGCCTTGTCGCAGGGTTTCTCTTCATTTTCTGGCGATTCGATTCGATTGTCTCTTCTCTTAGTCGTGGTGGTATGTGCTCCTCCGTGCCCGGCCTCCCTGCCTGCCACGAACGGGCGACTCGCGTTTCAACCCCCCCGCGATCCACGTTCCGCTCTCGCCCTCGCGCGCTCAGGTGCGGTTCGTGCACTTCGAGTCTCAAGTCCCGCAGCTCGGCCGGAGCGGCAAGGGCGACGCGAATGGACGAGAAGAAGAGAAGCAAGGGACAGGAAGAGGAGGAGGAGGAGGAGGAGAGCAGCAAGGGGTAGGAGGGGAGCCAGGGCACCGGGACCCGGAAGGCGGATCCTGTACTTCAGCAACCCGAGGAGGCGCCGCCATACCCGGGGACGCGCGGAGGATGTCCCCTCACGGGGTGCGTGTTGTCGTCGGGAACGAGGGTAGAGGCGGGAGCAGCCGGAGCGGCGGCAGGAGCAGCGATCTTGTGGGGACGGCGGGGGGAGAAGGAAAACGCCCGTTCTTGTGCCTGGAGACCGCTGCGTGGTGAGTGAGGGCGGCCGGTGGTTGTAGCCCTCCTTTGCTTTTTTTTCTTGTGAACAAGGCAGCGGAGTTTGGCTGCTGTTCTTGCGAACCCTTGGGACTACCTACGTTCGAGCGTAAATGTTTTTGAGCCCCCCCCCCCCCCCCCCCCCCCCCCCC